GAGACCATGCCAAAAAGGAAAAAAAAAAAAAAAAAAAAAAGGGTAAAGATCACTGTAAAAGTTGGCCGAGTAAAATGTCCTCTCTTGCTGCCTGTCTCCAAGCCTCTCCAGCAGTGGCCTGAAGTCCAGCCTCTGAGCAGTGCGGACAGCCCAGACTCTGTGGGTCACCCTGAGCCTGGCAAGGCACTCAGGGGCCACCGACTGGCTGGGGCACCACCCTCACTCGCATGCAGGGCAGCAAGCCTTCAGGCCTCACAGATGCCGCCTCATGCCACGAGGGACGTGGGGGGCCCAGGGGCCCAGCATCCGCTGAGCAGGTGCCATACCTCTGGTCAGGGAGGGCTGACAAGCACACCCTCCAGCCTCGCGGGGACAAGAGGAAGGGCGAGTTTCCTGGGTGACTTTACCCAGTGACTCCCTCTTCCTCTGCCTCCTGTCGCCCAGCACTGCCCCCAGGCCAGACCCCATCCCGCCGCAACCAGGCCGCACCTGTGCATCCAGCTGCACCGGGCCAGGGCTGTCCCACGTTCGAGGGGCACAGACCCACAGCTGCACAGGGCCCGCTCCCTCCGGCCTCATCCTCCCGGGTCTCCAGGCTAAACCTGGTATCAGTCCTCACCACTGGCCGGAGAAGATAGCAGCTCTCACTGGGACAGCAAAACCCGGTGGGACAGGCCCACCACTTCGAGGGCCGCTGAGTCGCCTTGGGAGGAACAGGCACCGGAGCTTGGTGGCCAAGTGACACCCCCAGGCAAGACGTCACATCGGAGCCAGGGCTCGAGGACGCCACACATGCCCAACACCAGCCGGGTCCTGGCCGTGATGCTCAGTGACCCAGACACCCCAGCCGACAACCCGCCTCATTCAGCCGCGCTGCCTCAGGCTGCGTGCTTCACAGCGAGGCTGGCATGGCCACAGCTCTGTAGTCTCCGGGGCCTGGCGCTAGCACCAGCTCGAGGTGGGTGGCATCCCCACAGGGGGTGGGGCACAGGCTCAAGTGGTAAGTGGCATGTGTAGGAAATCAACCAAGGGGGGTGAGCAGCCTGCCCCCTGTGAGAGCGCTCCTGGCCCTGCCTCCTCAGGTTCCCAGCGTGGCCACCTGGTGACTGTGGTGCAGGCACACAGGCCTTTCGGGGACAAATGCCTTGAACTATTGGCCCAAGCTGGCCTGGAACTTGTGCAATCCTGCCTCAGCCTCCTATGTGCTGAGATTACAAGTGTGTGCCACCATGCCTGGCAACGTTTTCCTGTAAAATAAATATATATAAAAAAAGAATGAAACACAGCACAGCCTGCTGGCCTCCTTCCGCACACCCTCTGCTGTGAGGCACACTCTGGGTGAAGTGCGAGAAGGCGGGAGGGCCCTGCCAGACACCTGAGAATATGTGTTTGTGGATTTTCGAGATGCCATCCTCCTGCCTCTGCCTCCCACAAACACTGAAGCAGCTCTTATGAAACAGTTTCCAGGCTGTGCTGGTGACAGTTGCCTCTGGTCACCTCGGCGGTGGGTTAAGAACGGAGACAGCCAAGCTTGCGGGGCGGCCGTGACTTTCCCGAGTCTACGCCACCTGGAAGCTCGTGCTGATCACTGGCAACAAGTGGGGCTGGTTCTGCTCAAGGTGCCTCATTCCCTGCAAGGAAACGCCCGCCAGAGCCCCGTCTGGGACAGCGCGTGGCCGTCCTTCTCCACGCGGCTGCTGGGCCTGCGAGGCCCGCTGCCTGTCCCTCACGCCGGCAGCAGAGCACGGAGGCTCCACGGAGCTGAGCCCTGAGGACAGCAGCAGGTCCCCGGCATCGTGAAGGTCACCGTGAGGCACTCGAGCCCTTCCTCCCCCAGAGCAGGCGGCAGTGGCAAAGCAATGCCGTGGGGACAGTCTGGTGCCGCTGCCTGGGTTGTGCCCACACCCAGCTCTTTACCCATCGCTGTGGGGCCCACAGCAGGGGCCCGCACTGCACCTGGGAGGGCGGCCCGGCCCAGGGTCCCCGGGGCAAGCGCCTCCTGGAACCACCGCTCTAAGGCCGCACTCCCGCTAAGCCAGTCCTCCCATGTCCCAGGCTGCTGTCTCCCTGGAGAAGCTCTCTGGAACAGGCGGGCTCTCCCGAAGGCTGCTCCACCTCCCCTCTGAGCAGGCGGCCCCAATAAGGCCAGCAGCGGGCTGCTCAAAGGCAGCTGTGCACTGCATCTCAGGGACACGGGACGGCGTATGGCCGGGGACAGGTGGGTTAAGGAGGCAGCGCTTCGGCCTTCAGGGCTACCTTTGCGCGCTCAATTTCAGTAAACAGAACCCAGACAAAGAAGCAGGCGAGGCACAAGCATGCCTGCGGGAAGCTGCTTCCTCACCCATGCAGGAGGAACAGTTGGGACCTCCCTGGGCTGCAGTTACCCAGCCTGCACCGCGCCTACAACGCCCTGCAGGCCCCATCAGGGTCACACCACGCAGCGAGTCCAGAGAGAACGAGGCTGGCAGGGACCAGGGAGCCAGAGCCACCCAGCTCACTGCCTCCAAATCCAACAGCAGCTTCGCAGCCTTCGCCAGCCAGCTGCCCCAGGACAGGTGGGTCTCAGAGGTAAACGAGGCGCACAGAGGGCCGAGCACAGGAGCCAGCAGCCGGCGCAGAGCCCGGCAGCGCTGCGCCGAAGCCCCTCGGGCAGGCACACTGCACCTGCCCCGGGTCAGCCCCCAGGACGGTGCTCTCTTCTGGAGATGGCCACTGTGGGAACGCGGCTCCCTGACCCTGGCAGTGGTACAAGCACGAGCATCTTCTCTGCTGTTTATTTGGAGACAGACTCTCGCTGTGTGGTCCAGGCTGGCCTCAAACTCATGGTCCTCCTGCCTCAACCTCCCGAGTGCTGAGACGACAGGTGTGCGCCACCACGCCCCACTTGTTTTGGATTTTTGAGACTCTCCCACTATGTAGTTCAGGCTGGCTTTGAACTTGCTATGGAGCCCAAGCTAGCCCTGAACTCCATCCTCCTGCCTCAGCCTCCCGAGTGCTGGGATGACAGGTGTCACTACCACAGCCTGGCCAGTACAAGCATTTTCAAAGCATGGCATGAATGAGGCCACTGAGGGTGTGCTTGAAAGCCCCTCCAAGGAGAGGACACCCCCCTTCCATTCTGTTGTGTGTCGTGTACGTTTCTCTCTCCCGTCAGAGGGTCTGTATCATCTTTTGCTGACAAGAGCCGGCTGCTTCCTCAGCAGATCAGCAATGGGAGCGCAGTCAGCCTGCTTCTGCATGTGCTCTCTGCTGAGAAAGCCCCATGCTGCCCCCTGGTGGACACATGGGAAATGACCTCAGGCGCCAGGGCCAGACACAGCAGAAGCTGGGGCCCAGAGGGCTGGAGCCCTGCAGATTCCCCACTGAAGAGAGGCCTCGATCAGGTGAGCTCAGCCTCGAAGCCCAGGTAGAAAGGGCCCAGAGAGAAGGGGCAGATGAGGCCGCACTCAGAAGGAAGCAGCCGTGGGGAGACACCCAAGTTTCCAACCCAGAGATGCTGCCATGGAGTCCCGTGTGGTTGTTTCCATTGTGTCTGTCTGTTCGGGTTTCCTGATACTGGAAACTGACTCAGAGCCTTCACACTGAGCTGTACCCCAGCCCTATTTTTATTTTTTTAAATAAAATGTGTGTCACTAAGTTTCCCAGCCTGGGCTCAAACTTGAATCCTCCTGCCTCAGCCTCAGAGTGTTGGGGTTATAGGTGTGCACCACCTCACCTGACTGGGACTTGGTAATATTTTCAGCTGAAGAATCAGAAAAACTAATTCAGGGAGAGTAAAGTATATAACGATGGAAAATTAATGTCTCACCTTAATATACTAAAATAACAAAAAATCCCTGTTCATTAATTACAAAAATAATAAAGCCATCTTTTCCCGTAACGCACGTAGAAGGGTAAAAGCACAAGAGCACCCCACACGGCAGCTACTGCAGTGGGGCCGGAAGCTGGATCCCACTCCGGGCTTCTGTCCGAGGGCAGGGGGCTCAGCTACGCTTCCGGTTCTGGCTCCGGCTGCGGGAGGCCTGAGCGTGTGCCGTGTCCACCCTCGGTCTGGCTCCACTCCCTGAGGACCCGAGAGGAGAGCCTTCCCAAGGCCTGGGGACTCGGTGCCTCGGAGGGAAGGAAAGGGGAGGAGACACGTGAGACGGAACGAGGGCCATGGCCAGCACTGGGAGGACCAGAGGTGGCGCCGACCACGCTGCCCTGCCTCTCCAGCCACGAGGAGCAAAGCGGCGAGTGGAACAGTCCCGGACACGCTGTGGAGCCACCAGGTCCAGCTGTACTCCCTCAGAGCAGCAGCGCAGACACCACGCGAGGCGCCATGTGCCACTGAACCTGGGAAACAGGCGTGCGGGCCAGGCGCTGTTCAGGCTTATAAAATGAACCCACTTCACTTTCCTGTTTTTTTGGGGGGGATCTTTTTTGGAGACAGGGTCTCACTGGGCAGTTCAGGCTGGCCTTGAGCTCACTTTGTAACCCAGGCTGGTCTCAAACTTGCAACGATCCTCCTGCCTCAGCCTCCTGAGTGCTGGGATTATAGGCGTGCACCATCACGCCCAGCTACCTTACTCTTCTAATCAGAACAAAACCTGTGTGTGTATGTGTGTGTGTGCACGCGTGCACGCACCGTGCAAGTACCTCTCCTGAGACTTAGGCACCAAGGTCCTAAGGACACAGTGCGAGGACATCGGGTCATTCTAAAGGCTCCTCTGGGCAGGCCCCCTAATGGGAGGCTGGCAGTGTGCAGGGCTGCCCCGGTCCACAGGCCTCTGCTGTCACCGCCAGTGAGAAGCGTTCCCCTGCCCAGCCCTGCTTCCTGACTGAGCGCGGGACATGAGAACCACGATGGTGGGCGGCAGTGAAATGAGTCTGCCTCCCCTCGGCAGCCTGGCTCCGCGGCTGTCCACAGCCTTTGCCACCTGACCACGCGGCTGCCCCTCCGGGGCGGGCCTGCATCCCCCCGCCCCCCCACCGCGCCTGGAGCATCGCAGGGAACTTGCCTTTTCCATCCGTGGCTGAAGCTTCCTGTAAATGTCTGATGGACCTAAAAGCAAACATTTGGAGAACAAAGGTTAGCGAGAACTTGCCTGTTTCTGTTTCCAGCTTAGGTGCTGACAGCCCGAGTCCCTGAGTGACAGACTGGAAGCGCTCGGCAAGAGCCGCCTGGAGCCCCCCAGCAGTCCCTGCGCCGCACGGAGCCACTCAGCGCGCTCCAGGCTGCCGGCCCACTGCGGCCTGGGCCCGGCAGGGGCACAGGGAGACGGGACCGCCAACCTCTGCAGACTGATGCCCGTCCCGCCCCCAGCCCATCCCCGAACCCAGGACTTGATGAGGACGTGGGCCCTGGCCTGGCCACTGGGACCCTGCAAAGCTGTGGTCCTCAGGCAGCCTCCCCGTGTGACATGGACCAACGGGGACAGCCCCACAGGCTGCGGCACTCACCACACCACGGGGAAGAGGATGGCGCCGCAGCACAGCAGGTCCACCAGGAACAGGGAGTCCTTCCACAGTCCGTACTCCGTCGTGCCCTCCTCGGTGGACTCGATGATGATGTAGGCCACGTTCGCCAGGACCTGCGGGCGGAGAGGTGGCTGAGGTGGTTCCAAAGTGGCCGAGCAGAGGTCACCGGGCACACAGCCCTGCAAGCGGCCAGTGTTTCCTCAGTCCCGGCTCGGCCAGGTCACTGCCACCCTCACCTGCACAGCGACCTGAGTGCGACCCTGTGTGTGCCCAAAGAACATGGCTTCCCCTTGGCCTTCCCTGGGGCTGTGCGCACGCGTGCATGTGTGCGTGTTGCTGGGGTAAACCCAGAGCATTCACGCTGAGCTCATTCTCCAGCCCTCTGTTGTTTTTCAGATAGGGTCTCACCAGGTTGTCCAAGCTGGGCTTGAACTTGGGATCTACGTGCCTCAGCCTCCCACAGTGCAGGGATCACGAGTGTGCGTCACCACACCTGGCTTCCCAGCTCTTTTTTTATTAGGACACAGGCTCTCAGCTAAGTCTCTAAGTTGTTCACTCTGGCCTCAAACATGTGATCCTCCTGCCTCAGCCTCCCAGAGTGCTAGGCTCACACCCATGCATTTCCACACTGGGCTTTGAGACTCTTTTAAGTAGTTAAAACTGCCAAGCTGGGGAAACCATGCAGACAGAAGATGCCTCCGAACCCCGGCTGTTTGCACCTTCTTCACATCCCCTGCGCCCGGCCCTGGAAACAGAGTCCAGTAAGGGCTCGAGGAGGCCTGGCCCCAGCGCTGACCACATGAGCTGGCATGACAGCCCCGCCCGGTCGGCCCCAGCCTTACCCACAGATGGGCAGTGTGGCTGCGGTTCATTTCTGGTATCACCAGGCTGGCACTCCGCTCTGAGGCCCCCCACTTCCCTTCACACCGGGGCAGCCAGCTGCTCCGCGCAGGATGAACCAAGCCCAGGGCCTCGCTCTGCTGGATGCCGCAGCGCTGCACCCAGGTCTCGCTCCTACCTCAAGGCTGTGCCTCCCTCCGAGCCCCGTATGAGGCTGCATGCAGGGAATGAAATGTTCCCGCTGCTTAAACTGCGACGCCCCCTGGCACCCGGGAGATCCCCGAGACAGGGTCTGCCTGCTAAAGGCCACCACTAGGCCTGGCTGCAGAGAAAGGAACAACGTGCGACTCCGGCACGGGCACCCAGGCGGCTCCAAGCACAGTGTCTCCTGTGTCGACTTACAGGTCAGTGACTGCACAAGCAGCACTTACCGCAAACGGCAGGGGTTAGCCTGTGGTTGCAGCGCCCCCTCCCACAGCATCTGACTGCTCCCTGTCCCCTGCCCTCCCCTCAACGCGATTCCACTGTCCTCCGTTCGTGGGCTTCTCACAGAGGCAGGCTGCTCCCGGGTACTGGACTGAACAGTGCGCCTGTAAGGTCCCGCGCACCGCTCAGCACGGACCCAGCTCTCTCCTTCCTCAGGAACTTTCTGTGTGGGGTGGGAGTGCACGCAGGGGTGTGCTGGGGCTCCACCCTAGGCACTGGGAATAATCCCCCAACAAGAAAGCAACTTTCTGTTGGACGTGGTGGCGCACTGTTGTACACCCAGCACTGGGGAAGCTGAGGCAGGAGGATCACTGTGAGTTCAAGGCCAGGTTGGACTACAAAGGGAGTTTAAAGTCAGCCTGAACTGCACGGCGAGACCGTGTTTCAAAAAACAAAGAAAGCAAGCAAGCAAGCAACTCCCACCCCGGGCCCTGGCCAGAGGAGACAGTGAAAGCTGCAGGCCGATGCTGACGGCTTCCCACACTAGCACCAGGGTCTGCACACCCAGAACCGCATGCTCGATTCATGGTCCAAGCTCCTCAGTGATGCTACTGGGAACTTTTTTTGGGATACCGGGAATCGAACTCACAACCTCACACGTGCCAGGCAGGCACTGTGCTGCTGAGCTGCATCCCAGGCCTGCTACTGGGAACCTTGTGCGTTCACTTCAGGGAGCAAAGTCGGAAAGCAGGGAAGCAGGAATGGCCCTGACCCGCCACGTCCCAGTCCAGGTGGGGCAGGAAGCCACAAGCCAGCCAGGGACAAAGTGGGAGGAAGACCCCGGTTCTGCCCTGGAGGCTCTGAGGCTGGCAGGCCGTGGAGCTCAGCGTGGCAGGCACTGCAGCCCTAGTGGCTTAGCCTCCGCAGAAGTGCATGCTCCACGGCGGCGGCCTCACAGACCGCACTGTCAGTCCAGGCTTCTGCGGCTACTGGTCTGCCTCCCCCTGAACCCCAGCCACATCCGCGAGGCCACAGAGCCCGCCACCCCCTCCCTCCAGATGAGAAGCCACAGCCACCAGTCTGCATCAGTTCAGAGGTGGGACACTGCTGCTCACAGCCGGCATCGGGGTGGCTCTGGTGCCGAGAGCTGTCCCTCTTCCCACGCTGGGCTCCATGCTGCGAGCTCAGCTACCGAGAGCGACTCGGCTAAGGCTCTGCGTGCATGCAGATTCTGCCGAGTATGAGAGGGCATGGGGCTCCTCTCCAGGGGCTCGGAACCTGGCAACGGCTGGGCGTGGTGGCACCTGTCTATCATCCCAGCACTCGGGAGGCTGAGGCAGGAGGACTGCCACGAGTTCAAGACCAGCCTAGGCTACATAATGAGTTTAAGGCCAGCCTGAACTACACAGTGCTGTTTCAAAAAAAAAGAAAAAAATCCTAGTGAGGGTGGCCCCAGCAAGGGCTTCCTCCACACTTCCCGCTGTCCCGTCATGTCCACCTCACTGAAACTCACTGGTCTCCATCACGGCTCTGAAGTACTACGCCGAGATCACCGTGTACCAGGGTTCTAAAGATGAAGGCAGGCAAGTGTCTCCCGGCAGTTACTGAAGTCTGGGTCTGTCACAATCCAAAGGGACAGCTCCACTCTTTAACCCCCACAGCCAGAAGCCAAGACCCCCTGTACCTGGAGGGGGATGACGATCATGAAGATCTTCTTGTCTTTGTCGGAGAGGATGTGCTTGATGAAGGCCCAGCCCGTGCCAATGAGCGCGATGGTGATGAACAGCAGCGCACCCTTCAAACTAGAAGAGAAAACAGTCCGCGGGGCGGCGGCTCTCTCTACTCTTGCTCCTCACAAAAGACACATGCCAAGCTCAGAAGCGCATCTCACATGAGCAGCGCTTCCTTCAAGTTGCGCCAACAGCACTGCACCCCACCCAGAGCCCCCAGTGGCTGTGGGAGGAAGGAGCCAGCCACAGCCTGAGCCCCCAAGTCCTGCCAGCCCCTGTGTCACACACACTCGGAACCGCAGGGGCCCGGGAGCCCAGGCTGGCCACTTGGGCAGGCAATCCCTGCCACCCCAGCTTTCTGGTTTCTTCTGATTCTCTGTGGCGCTGGGGATGGAATCCAGGGCCTCAGGGCCTCAGCGCATGCGTAACCCAAGCTCCAGGGGCGAGCCACCCCCAACCCCCTCCGCGGGAGCTACTCACAGGTGGGTTATGTAGTAGACCACGGCCCAGCCCTCGATCGGGAAGCCCTGGGAGGAGATGTAGTGGTAGTCGATCTGAAAGCGACAGCGGTGGGTCAGCGGGAATCCGCCCCCCGCCTCACTGCAGAGGCGCAGGACCTGGGAGGGCTGGGGAGCGGGTGGAGCGCCGGCCGACTCCTCCCTTGGCAGCGCACCGGAAGCGGGAAAGAGAACAAGCCCCAGGCAGCTTCGGGAACACGACATGGGCTTTCAGTGCCACCAAGGCCCGCCAGCTGCTCTCAGGCGCACATCATCACTGGCAAATGCCTCCCTTAAACACCTCCCAGGCTCGCCGGGCATGAGGCGGAGGCCTGTAACTCACCACCACTGTACATCTAGAAATACCTGAGGCCACCAATGCAGTTTTACTAAAGTGGTGAGATTTAGTGGTGCCCCAAATCCCGCCCAGGGAACCCCAGAGTGACAGCAACGCATACACCTTTCACTCTCTCTAAATTGCATGCTGAGCTGGACTCGGTGGCATTCGCCTGTAATCCCAGCACTGAGGCTGGGGCAGGAGGATCACAAGTTTGAGTCCCACCTGCACAACTTAAGCAGACCCTGTCTCAAAGTAAATAATAAACAGAGCTGGGGACAGAGCTCAGCATGAAGGCCCTGGGTTCAATGACCAGAAAAAAAAAAAAAAGAAGTGGAGCAAGGGTGGCTGCTGCGCGCCTCGCGCATCCACAGTGGGGGAAGCATGGCCTCCCACGGGCAAGTGTGCTGCCTCTGCAGCAGTCGTCCAGAATACAGCTGAGGCTCACTGTGCTTTGTTCTGGTTGGGTATTTGGTAGTGCTGGGACTGGATCTCTGGGTCTTTATGCTAGGCAGGTGCTTTCCTACTATGTTACATCCCCAGCCCCTTTTTAAAAATTTTATTGAGACAAGGTCTCAGTTGCCCAGGCTGGATTTGAATCTGCTGCTCTCCTGCCTCGGCCTCCCAGGTAGCTGGGATGACAGCCATGCCTAAAGGGTCAATTCTTGCGCCTCAATCTGTATGGCATCAATACTCTCTCAGGGGGGCGGGGGGCGTGCTAATACCGAGCCTCAAACAGCAGGAGCGAGAGGGGATGCAGCCAACGTGAGGGCACAGAAACTCCTGAGCAGGGAGGCGCTCTTGTCAAGGAACAACAGAGGAGAGGAAGTAAGAACCCGTGTTCGGGAAAAACTCCCGGGCTCCCGGCAGCACAAAGCTGCCTTGGGCCCAGCATCACCAGGGGAGGCTGCGGTCATCTCCCCAAGGCTGCGTCTCTGTCGCCCCCTCCCAGCTCTCCCTCCCACACAGCACCGCACATGGCACACTCGGCACACCCCTACGCACCGCGTGGAACACCAAGGAAAGGGACTTGGTGAAGGGCAGGGCCGCCATCAGCCAGTGGATCTTAAACACCTCACTCCTACAGAGAGAGACAGGAGAATGAGAAGAAGGTCCACCAGAGGGCAGCAGAAGCACCGATGAACTCATAAGCAGGCAGGACGCAGAGGCAAAGCACAAACACCAGGTGCGGAAGTACGTGTGTATGGAGAGACCAGTTTCTGCTACACACTCGAGGGTGGCACTATGGCTCACTATGCATCCCGGGGTGCTTTGAACTTGTGATCCTCCTGCCTCAGCCTCCTGGGCGGCGGGATCACAGGTGTGTGCCACAGGCCCGGCATTTTTGTAGTAGCAGTGGTCCCAGGTAGAGTCCCGAGGAGTCTCTGACGGATGACTGAACGCGGTCAATTCAGAGACCCGATGGCTCGAGTCCTGACCACGTGGACATCTAACCCGAGGCGGCCTCCTCCCAGGACCACGCAGGAATGAGGCAGGCAGATGTGCGCAGCAGTGCAGCTCCCAGGAAGAGGGCGTGAGGAGGCGCGGCCAGTGAGGGGACGGGCGGGGAGGGGGATGGCCAGGTCGCCCCTCTCTCCTTGCCTCTCGCCTCCCCTGACACAGGTGCACAGGAGCGTTACGGAGAGAGAAGGGCGCAGAGGAAGGCTGAGAGAGTGGGGAAGGCGCTGTCAGACCCGCGCACTCTGCACAGCCTCAGCAATGTCCGCTTTTCAGATAGATGCCCCACGGCCCAGAGGAGCGTCCAAATGCGGGCGGACGCACGTGACGCACATGGACGTGGGCGAGGGCCGCCACACCGCACGGCTGGGGAGACGGACTGCTGAGCGACTGCCGGGACACCAGCCTGAACCCTCAGAGGAAAGGGAGGGTCCTCTCTACCCCTACGGGACTCCTGACCATCCGCTGGCATCGGTCCTGACACTTTGCGGCCCTGGAGCAGAGAAGGCCTACTTCAAAGGCACTGCCCGAAGAGCCAGAAAGTTAGACAGCGCCACTCCACTAAAGTGAAAGCCTTCCAACAATGGCCGCTACAGTCACGCCTAACACCAGGACACCGCCAGTGCGCCAGGCAGATGAGGGCTGGGCGACTGCGGCAGAGGCCGAGAGGACGAAACCCGACGGGGAGGGGCGCCGTGGAGGGCCGCAGGCAGACGCGCGCTGCGCTGACAAGCGCTCACGGCCAACACAGACAGCAAGACGCGCGGCGCCGTGCACTCTGCTCGGGCGGCGTCCTGGGGCCGGCGTGGGCGAGCAAGGCAAACCTGAAGCAAACTGGAAGGCCGAGAGCTGGCTGAGAGCAGGCCGTGCCCCGCGCAGCCCTCCTGGCTGCTCCTGAGGGGCTAGGGTGTCGGCAAGGCGGGAGGGAGGCTGGGGCAGCTCCGGCCGGGGAGCGGGGTGCTGGACGGGGACAGCACACTACCGTGTGAACAGCGCCCACAGGCGGCTCGGGTCCCATCCGCCCAAAACACAGGCGACACCGCCCGCACCCCTGGGAACCCACGAACACCCAGGCTGTCTGCTGAGCACTCTCGGGGGCACCCACGGCTGGCAGGGCGGCGGGAGGGACAGGAAACGCGGGGGAGGGAGCGCGGGGCTTCCAGGCAGGTGTCTCGGGCACCTTCCTGTCCCTGTGCCCACCACTTGCAGGTCCGAACAGAAGCCAAAGCCGGGCGTCTGTCACTACGGCACGCCAGGGAGCCACGCTCGCTCACACACCCAGGCAACGCTGACTTGTGGGCTGCGGGGACGTGGTGGAAAGCACGGAGGCTGGGCTGCCGGATGACGTGGCCTTAAAGACTGGGTCTCCCCCAGCCTCAGTCTCTGCACCACAGTGAGCTCTTCTGAAAGGGGCGCCTCCACCCCAGCGTGCTGCGGAAGAGGAGCCGAGCCGAGCACACAGAGCAGGACGGCAAAGCCACCGGCCATCTCCCTCCCAGTCGCGCCACACTCGGCCGAAAGGAGCCTGGCAGGCGCCCCTGCAAGCCCCAGCTCTGTCAGGCGACGCCGGCCGTGTCTCACGTCCCCTTCCACAGCCTCCATAAGCTTAGGTGACAAATGCCCCTCGGTCCTTCCAGCTCTGAGGGGCCACCAGCCTCAGAAGTGTGCTTGGCACGGGGGGGGGGGGGTCCTGTGCCCTATGGCCCTCGAGTCCCCAACCTAACAGCTGGCTCTCAGGCACCTGGCAAAGCACCAGGTGCTTCAACTGTGCCACCAGATGTGGAGAGGACCTGTCGCCAAGAAGCTACAAACCGGATGCACGTAAAGCGGGAAGCCTCACTTCGCCACACACTGCAACTGTGCCACAGCTTCCCACCGGGGAGCCAGTGACAAGGACTCTGCCATCACCAAGTACAAGATTCAAACAGCCCTCAACACCTGGTGGGTAAGCTCTTTTATTTGCATAACATCCTGATTTGCAAGGCTCTCTCAGCTGGAGGAACCACACAGATTCAAGGATCAAAGAGCTTAGCTGAGCCAGTGTGTCGGCACAAGCCTGTAATCCCCATGCTCTGGGAAGCTGAGGCAGGAGGATTGCATATTCAAGCCCAGCCCGGGTAACTTAGAGAGACCCCAGCTCCAAAGGGTGGAGGGGCTGGGAGGGCGCGCAGCGTGAAGACACTGATGCAACCTGAGAACCACAAATACGGACCAAGAACCAGAGAAAATAAAAGGTGCAGAGAGGGAGGCACAGCGCTCACCACGGTCCCACCTTCCCAGCCGAGCAAGGAGGCTGCTGTGAAGCAAGGCAGACAGGACGTCACGGAGCTCACTTACGACGCGTGGCTCCTACTTTTCTAGTAAAGTTAAAAAGCAAGTTTCTCTCAAAACACTCCACATCCTTTTTGTTTGTTTTTTGTTTTTTTCCGGTACCAGGAATCAAACTCAGGACCTCACGCTTGCCAGGCAGGAGCTGTGCCGATGAGCTAAATCCCCAGCCCCTCACTCCACATCCTTTACAGCCTGCATGTGTGGGATCCCCCTTCCTGTGTAGCAGATCTCCTCATCACCGCGTGGGCCCTTCCCACAGGCGGACATGCAGGACATCAGGACACACAGGTAGCGGCCACTGCACCTGCTAGCGTCAGCATCACAGGCCTGCCGAGGAGACGCACATGCCCGCGCGCTGGGAGAGCATGCAGAACCCGTTCTCCTCTGAGCTGCGACCCAGCCACGCCCACCAGCTTGGAGGCACTCGCTGGCAGGAGGCGGAGGATTCATGCTGCCCCAAGGACCTTGTACAGCATGGCGCAGCCTTGGGTTTTGAACCAAGGCCCAGAGCCAGGCAAATGGGCTCTAAAGAGGCCAGGGGTCCTGGAGGTCGCCAGAGAGCATTAGCCAGACTCCAAGCCGGCAGCAGGGCCGAGGCCCTGACCTCGTGAGAGGGGCAGCCCCGAAAGGCACCGGTGCGTTCGCAGGGGCCTGCGATGATGGGGTCTCTGCTGGGACTGCAGCGAGACCTTCAGCCTCCCTGGGAAGAGCCGTGAACCGGCGCCCGCACACAGAGGCCTCTGGGGACAGCAGGGCCCTAGGGCTCAGCCCTCTGGGCAGAGAACCGGGTGGAAGGTGACACGGGGCCAGGGCACCTCCACGTGTGGCAGACGGCTCCGAAGGCAGCTCACCGTCGTTTCCTAAGGATGTGGATCCAGAAGGTCCCAGAGAGGAAGAAGAAGAAGGCCATGCAGATGTAGAGCTTGGGGAGCGGGATCTCCCCTGCGGACAGGTAGCTGTCGGGGTTCTTCTCGGTGATCTCGATCTGAAAGCACCGGGAGAGGGCGCTTTACACTCCGAGCTGGAGCCCCAGCGGGAAAGCCACGGCCCCCACGCACAGGCGGAAGAGAAACAGGGCCGGCGTGGCTCCAGATTTTCCTCCACGTGGGGCCTCTGGCCATGTGTCCCTCCACTGGCTCAGAGCGGCCCCAGCCCCGTTTTTCTCTTCCGGAAGTGTTTCTGAAACCTGTTCTCGGTGGACGGGAGTGTCTGTAGCTCAGCGGTAGGGTGCTGGTCTAGCAGGCGCAAAGCCCTGGGTTCAATGCCCAGCACCAAAAAACAAGGACTTTTTTTGGTGGTACTCAAGGGCCTTCGCCCTGAGCTACATCCCTGCCCTTTTTTACTATGAGACAGGGTCCTGCTAATTCTCTAAATTGCCTGAGCTGGCCTTGAATTTGAGATCCTCCTGCCTCACCCTCCCAGAGTGTTAGAATTATGAGTGCATAACCCCCACATCCAGTTGAAAACAACTATTCCTTTTTTTTGTTTTTTTTAGAAGTAGGAAAATGTACTGGTAAAAAATAATAGGAAACAGGAATGTGGGTAGGAATAGCTCCTGAGAGGAGGGGTCCTGAACTGGTTGTCCACAATTATTCTTACAGAAAGACAGACGTCTGGAATTTTGCACTGGCAAATCCCCCCATTACAGTCCCCACATGGTACTTACATCAAGGCTGAATGAAAACTTGTCACTCGACTGCCCCTCAGTTTTAGAGCATTTATGGAAATAAAGACTGTAAAGTCCTTCTTGATCATCAGTGCTGATGTTAAAGGAAAACTGAAAGAGAAGAAAAACATTTAAGGGTACTCAACTCCTCTGTTGATTTGTTTTTCTTTTCTTTGTTTTTTGGGTTTTTTTTTGAGACAGGGTCTGGATATGTAGCTCAGCCTGGCCTCCACCTCACTGTAATCCGCCTGCCTCAGCCTCCTGAGTGCCAGCATTATAAGCATGCACCACCATGCCGAGCATTACCTCTGCTAAATTTTTTTTTTTTTTTGTCTTTTTGAGACAGGGTCTGGCTATGCAATTCAGGCTGGCCTTGAGTTCACTCTGTAGCCCAGGCTGGTCTTGAACTCGCAAGGATCCTCCTGCCTCGGCCTCCCGAGTGCTGGGATTACAGGTATATGCCACCATGCCTGGAATACCTCTGCTAATTTTTAAAACTTAGATGTAAGTTATGAATTAATGGACAGAAGAAAATAGACTATTTAATCAAATTCTCCCAAAGCAGAGTTTAAATGGATGTTTCCTTATTCTATCATACCCTCCCAATATTTTGTAACAGTGTTCAAGCACACAGACGAGTGAGCAGATGGAACTGTACAGCGAACACCTTCCACCCACACTTGAGTCTATGGTCGCCGCTGTGCTACGCTAGCTTTGTCATAGCTCAGCATGTCTGTGGTGGCTTTCAGTGGAGTCTGCCAGATGATCTAAGATGCAGTTACCTACTTTTCAAGTGAACATGTTATTTTGTCCTTCAGGTAAAAAATACCCTTGAATAAGAAACACCAGGCATGGTGGCGCACACTTGTAATCTCAGGACTCGGGAGGCTGAGGCAGGAGGAGCACTGCAAGTTCCAGACCACCCTGGGCTCTACAGAGTCCAGGGCCAACCTGAACTGCATAGCAAGACCCTGCCTCAACAACATCAAAAAAGGAGGTTCACCTTATTACTGAAAAAGACTAATACCACTTCATCCAAATTTACACCCATCATTTTAGGCAATAGTAACAAAAGTTTCATTTTCTTTTTTTTTTTTCTGGTACCAGGAATTGAACTCACGACCTTGCACTTGCCAGGCAGGTGCCATTGAGCTAAATCCCCAGCCCATAAAAGTTTCATTTTCTATATTTTTTGTTTTTCATACATTTTATGGGTTCAAATGAAGTTTAAACTAAAACAATATATGTACACTATCAGAGAATACAACTCCTTGGTCAATTCTAAGAACACTTCACTATCAGCAAAAAGTTCTAGCAATAAAAAGAAATCTGTCTTACACTGTTTAGGGCTTTAAATGCACCCTCAATAAACTAAAAAGAAAAGCCCAAACATAATAGCGATGGCTGTTTTGTTTTGCAACAGGGTCTTACTGTGAAATAAGTCCAGGCTGGCTTTACTAGCCATGCAGGGTGGGCTGGCTTTGCACTTGGGATCCTCCTGACTCGGCCTCCCCAGCACTGGGATGCAGGTGTGCGCTCGCACATCAGGCACAATGGCGCTGTTTATGAGGGGGTTACAGTAGCATGGGGGGCGGCCCTGAGTTGCCAGCAGTGCTCTATTGCCTGTGCCGAGATGGTTACAGGGTGACTCCTCATAGTGATCTGTTCTACTCTGTAAGTACTATGTATTCTTTCAAGTAGACACTGTACCTCACAAGAGAAAAAAGTAAGAGACACATGCCAAGAAAAGATAAATAAATGACTAGACACTTGGCTGAAATTATTAATCTCTTAAGCTATGCCCCAAATCATGCCTGTAAATGTGAGAGCATGTATTTCTGTCCACTCGGTTAGAGAAAAAGACACTGTTCTAAACATTAACTTTTACACTAAAAGTAAGACTCAGGGGACGTCTACAGCAATACCAAGGTTGGAGAGCCAGGCCCTGAGCAGCAGGTCGGAGGGCGGAGCGCCAGGGGCTGAGGGCGGCGCCAGCTGGAAAGCGCACAGGACTGCGGCCGGGCGCACAGCCAGGGCACGGCAGGAAGGGCTCACTGGCCCACAGGGCGGAAGCAGAGTGGGCAGGGAAAGGACAGGAGCTGGGGTCAGGGAGACGACAGGGCCAGGCCACGTGGGCACCAGAGGCTGGTGACAGATGGGACACCGCCGGGGACCCTGAGCCGATGCGCACCGCGAGCTCCCGCTCACTGTCGGGTGTTCTCCCTGATGGTGGCACCGGAAACAGTGGCCAAGAAGTGAACCCAGACCAGCAGCGTTAAATGAGCACACTATCTCCGCTGACAGTACGGGCAGTGGGAGTGGGCGGGCTCTGCGAGAACGTGAGAGAGAAGGAGAGAAACATAGCATCCTCCCGGAGCGGGGCCACAGCCACGCGTCTGCACCACGATCATGCCACGGGCACTGCGCTGCCCAGGCGCCACCTCAGGCCACGAACCTCCAGGAGAAAGAGCCCGTCGCTGTCCCACGTTACCCATTTACAGCAACATGGACAGAGCTCCACAGCCACAGCTCTGAGACAGCCCCACCGTGCTCCACGGGGAGATGCGACACTGGGCTGCCAAGGGCCACCTGGGCAGGCCACAGCTCCGAGACCAGCCAGTAGCCCGGTCCTGGGCTGGCACTGCAAGGATGGGACAGGGACTGCGCCGGGGCGGGGGCTCTGTGAACTCCCTGAACTACAGCGCCCCGTCAGCCCGAAATCCTTCTGGGAGACCAACTGTGTGATTCCGCACAGGGCACGCGAGGCGCGGGGCTGGGCTGGCACACAACGGCCACCAGACCTGGCCTGGGCCCTGGACACTCAGCAAGGCACTGGTGATGAGCAGGGAGCGACAGCGCCGCCCGCCTTGCTGGCATCTCACCCAGGGACTGCTGCAGACTAAGCCGCCCCCGTTCAGAAACTCAGGAAAGTCTCTGCGACTTTACTCCAGGAAAACACGTACCTGAAATGACACTGCCCCGGAGTCCTTATGAATGGAAAAGGATTTCTCCCCCGGTGCCTAAAAAATGACAATCTGCTTTAGGGTGATGCTGCAGGGCAGAAACAATACACTCATTACAATTAAACTTTAAATCCACGGCCGGGTGTAGTGGCGCACGCCTGCCATCCCAGCACTCGGGAGGCTGAGGCAGGAGGATCATTGCGAGTTCGAGGCCAGTCTGGGCTACAAAGTGAGCTCAAGGTCAGCCTGAATTGCATAGCGAGACCCTATCTCAAAAAGACTAAATAAATAAATAAATAAACCCATATCTTTTTTTTTTTTTTTTTTTTGAGACAGGGCCTCGCTATGCAGGTTGGCCTTAAACTCCCTTACGTAGCCCAGGCTAGCCTGCAACTCACAGTAATCCACCTGCCTCAGCCTCCCAAGTGCTGGGATCACGGGTGTGCACCACCACGCCGGACAAAGCCACATTTCTTCCAAAACCCTACAGCTGCTCTGAAAGGAAAATCGCCCATCCTTCCGAGGTAGGCCTGAAGCTCCTCTCCCCAGCTCTTCTTCCCTGGCTCCCGCCTGCCTGGCCCTTCCAGCTGCAGTGGGACCAGGGACGCTCACCAGGCAGCCATGCATGCCGGACACCGCAGACTCAGGCCAAGCAGTGGGAAGACGGACCGCTGACAGCACGGACGCGCTCAAGGGGACCGTGCTGACTGGGGACGGAAGAGGCCCGTCTGCACGGTGCAAGTTCACTCACAGCAGGCTCTGCAGACCCACCTACACAACGTGGGCACCAGCAGCTGTTGGGGCGCACTCACCACGCTGACCACCACCGCACACCTGTGCAGCGCAGGGGGGTCAGCGCTACTTTACCCGCGCTGAGGAAAACAGACCCAAACTAAACCTTGCTACTTTGACACCTCCTCAGGGCAAAAAGCAAGCTACTTCCAACCAGAACTCTGCTTCTCCGGCTTTACTACTTCCTCACTCGCTTCTCTGCAAACCCACCAGCGAGCAGGTCACTCCCCGCCCTCTCCCTCTCCGCCCCTCGCACACCACCCCCCCCATAGGTCCCCTAGCCAACGCCAGGGCCCCACGGCCCCCACACCAGCCAGCCTGGACACCTCTAGGGCCCAGTCCCCACGTGGTCCCCTCTGGTCCCCTCCAAGGTGCCTGCACAGGTGTTCAGACCGTGGTCCTCCACAGACACTGGCATCACAGTCCCCAATCGCAAGCTGGAGACAGCCTCCTGCTGTGTCAGCAATCGCTCTCTGCTGCCAGCGAGCTGCCTTCCACTTCAGGCCTGAGCTGAGCGGACCCCAGTGCCCGTGCCCGCGGGGGCATTCTCAGCCACCCCGCAGCCAGCTGAGCCCCGGCCGGGGAGTGCAGCCCAGTGAGGCTGCTTCTCCCCAAACAGCAGCCAGCTCCCTGCAGTCCGGCACACACACACAGGTGCACACGCAGCATACGTGGAAACACCTCCGGACACGCCCACAGCACACATGCGTATCCAAGAGAGCCGGGCACAGGCGGCCGAGGAGTTCTTACCTGTGTGTCCACCGTGCTTCTCTTAGGCTTCCCGCCATCTGCAAGCATAAACATCGAAGAGCTATCACTGCACGGCTCGGCTCACACACCATGCGTGTCACGGCCGGCTGACGAGGCCCCAGCTTGTCTACCGTGACGTCTAACACGTTCCTGCCGCCTTGAACCACTGTGATAAATGCACAACTGTCCTGCTGGACACCTGAAGCACAGTGGCCCACGTGTGACTGTCCCAGGCTGCCTGAGGGGACGGTTGTGCTTGCACCATCAGTGGCTCAGAGGGCCCTGGCAGTGAGACATGAATTCTGGTCCCGTTGTGAACGTGTTCAAACAAACAAACAAACAAGCAAACAAATTGTGCAGCTGCCCGCTCCTCAGGGCGCCAACAATTCCTGAGCTGCAGAAGCAGCCAATGGAAACGTGTTCAACGTTATCAAATTAACAACTGCGAGAGCCAGCAGGGAGCTGCTAAGTGGATGGTCCAGAGCGTGTTCCGGAAGAAACTGCGCTGGAATTGCTCCCTTACTTTCTATGAGATCAGGTTTGCAAAGAGATGAATGTCTAAAGAATAGACAACACATGAGATTTACTTACACACATGGAACATGGAAAGCCAGTAATATTAGTGTGTGTGTAGTTGTGTGTAGTTTTGTGTGTGGCGCCAGAGCCTGAGCCAGGGCCCGGTGCGTGCTGGGCAAATGCTTCTCCCGAGCCACCCCCGAGGCCCGGCACGCCTCTCCCCACCACCACAAGCATGCCGGGCCAGTCAGGGCTCAGGGACAGCCGGGCCTGGGCCTCGGTCCTCGCAGGGAAGAGGAAATGCAGCCTCGCTGTCCAACCCAGCGCTCGGCTGGGCCACACTTTCCTAGTGAGCTCTCTGCAGGAAGCGGGAGGGCTGGAGTATTCTCCCAACCAGGGAACGGTTATGAGGGCAACGAGGGGCCAACGAGAGGGTCAGCGTGAAGACCTGGCTTCGCCACCCCACAAAGGGGTCCCTCTGTGCAGTTTTAGCTTGGCTCGAGTTTCACAAATGGAGAGGAAAACGTCGAAATAATCCTCAGGTGGACCTGACAGTTCACGAAAGAGGGGCCAGTGTAAACGATTGCTCAGCACAGGAGCAGCTGGGCAGCTCAGCGAGAAAGCCCTGGCTCAATCCACGTCGCCACACAGGAAAGAGGAAGAGCAGCCCCAGTCAGTAACAAGAGTCAGTACAGAAACAAGAACACTGTTTGTACCTTTCATTCTAGGATTTTTTTTTTCTTTTGTTTTTGAAAGAGGGCCTCATTATGTTGCCCAGCCTGTGCTCAAGTAATCCGCCTGCCTCAGCCTGCTGAGCAGCTGGCACCACCGGCATCCACCACCATGCTCAGCACTTTAGGACCTTCTTTAAAAAGTAAATACCCAGTATTGGTTAGGATATAGCAATGTGTGTACTATTCCTACATATTTCCGATGGAGGTATAAATTCACCCAAGTCATTGGTAAAGGAATTTAAAAAGATCTGTTAACATCCTCAAAAACATTCATAGGCTTTAAATCAGCAATTCAAGAAACCAATCCTAAGGAAAGTCTCACAACGGAAAGTTTCTGCATTTGAAGAATTTTAAGCCAGGTGTGGCAGCACAGGTCTGGTCATCCCAGCACTCTAGGAGGCTGAGGCAGGAGGACGATAAGCTCAAACCCAATCTGGACACTTAGTGATATCCAGTACCAAAGCAAGAAATAAAAAAAGACCTGTGGATACAGCTTAATGTGAAGGCCCTGGGTTCAATTTCCCGCAAAAGAAAGAAGAAAAAGGAGGAATGGAGGGAAGGAGGGGGAAAGAAAAACTACAAAGCTACAATGTTGGTAACACCCTGGAGACGGAAGTGTGCCTCCCCAACACAAAGCGTGAGTAACTGGTGGAAGCTGCTCCTGCCGGTTTGAACCACCGGCGGCACACACAGGACTGTCCCACCGGGCGGCATGCAACAGTGCACGTGCCACTGGTGGTTCAGAGCCTCATGAAAGCGAGACAGGAATCACGGCCCATCATGAGTGTGCTCACGGGACGTTCAATATGTGAGAAGCATGTGACAATCAGGGAGCAGCCCAGACGGAAAAGTGTAGACAAGATGATGAGTTTTATTTATTTTTATTTTCTTATTTTTTCGTCTTTTGGAGACAGGGTCTCACTATGCAGTTCAGGCTGGCCTTGAGCTCACTTTGTAGCCCAGGCTGGTCTTGAACTCACAACCATCCTCCTGCCACAGCCTCCCGAGTGCTCAGATTACAGGTATGCACCGCCACGCCCGGCTTATGACAATGAGTTTTAAAAAGTTAATTTCTAGATTTAGGGCACAAGCTGAAAGGGAGACCAGATCACTAAAACTCACCTGGGGAGGAGGGGAGAAGACTGCACTTTCACTCTCTACACCTTCTTGAGGGTTATGCACTTTTTTGCATGTATGTGTGTGTCTTTTTGAGACAGGGTCTCGCTGTGCAGTTCAGGCTGGCCTTGAGCTCACTTTGTAGCCCAGGCTGGCCTTGAACTTGCAGCAATCCTCTTGCCTCAGCCTCCCGAGTGCTGGGATTACAGATGTGCGCCACCACGCCCGGCTTAGGTTACGCGCTTTTGTCGGAGCTCCAAAATGAAGACAAGAGACCCTACTCTCTCTGACTGGGAAATGGACACCTACCAAGCAGGTGTCTGATGGCGGTCGCATCAGCTGCTCACCTTGTGCTTTCTGAGTCTGGTTGCCGCCGGACTCGGATGCAGACGCGGATGCAGACGCGGACGTGGACACAGGGCTCACGTCGGGCCCTTGGCTCTGCGCAAGGACTTTCTCATCCTTGCCTAAGATGATCTTGGGCAGCTGGGTGCCAGCTTCCGGCGGGGACCTGATTTTCACTCTGCAGTCAAGTGAGAGCAGGGAAGGAAAGCTCACAGCAGCGCTCTGGCGTAAGCCTGCGGCAGCTTCATCACCCATTCCCTTGATACAGCAGGTCAACCTGCACCTGTCTCCTGCAGACCCGAGACCAGGCCCAAAGGACTGGAGCTCGCTCACGGGCAGGAGTGCAGGGCAGAGAGCGGCTGGGCGCCTCGGCCAGGCTGGGACCCTCACCATTAAGAAGGAGCCTGGGGGTCCTGAATTTCCCCTAAAGCCAGGGTTCTTTGCCACCACATGACTGCTGGGCCCACTTCACCCACATACCCTAACCTGCTTGGCACATTGCACAAGGGAACAGAGAAAGTAATCACGGTGCCATCCGGGGCACTGAGGGCCACTCTGCTCTTCCCGTGGCCCAAGCCACTGCTGCTTCAGCCTGCCAAGGCTGCAGGGAGTGGTGACAGTCCCCATGCCTGAGCGGCCTTGGGACCAAAGCTGGCACCATCAGGCTGGGCTCCCCCTCCCGCAAGGGCAGGTTCTTTCACTCCCCTGGCCGAATGGCTGCATGGAACAGGGAAGCAGAGCCATCTGCCCCTGCCTGGGGACACCTGCCTGAAGACAGCGGTATAGAGGAGGTGGGCAGAGCAGCAGGAAAAGCACTGCTCCCCACCCGCCGCCTTCAGCCACTGCTGTGGCCTGTCCCCACACCTGCCCTCACGCTGACATCTAGCCCTGACACTGACTGCCAACGGTCCCTAAGCAGCACGAGACAACCACACTCAACTGGCTTAGAGGAAACCGAGGTGACCGTGGAGAACGAGGCGGCTGTGGGGCACAGCCCGTCCTGGGCTCACAGCAGCTCCCTGAACGCCTCCCAAGGCACCTGTAGCAGCAGCTCAGCACAAGGCTGGACGCCCTGAGCTGCGACACCAAGCCCAGTTGGCCCGTGCAGTGTTTAAAGACTGCACTGCGGGGACCTCATCAAGATGATCTCTTCTCCCCCTCGGTGCCACAGAGCCGGACGGAGCCTGGGCCTCGGTTGCAAAGGCGTGGCTCCCACTCCCGTCACTGTGAGGCAAGCAGGACGAGGGTCCAGCTGCCCGCTGCCACTCTGTTCTGAGCTCGGCTGCCTGGCACTGCCTGCTCCCTGCCCAGGCCAGAGCCTCCCCTCCAGGCTGTACACCCCGCCCTGCCTGGCCCCACCAGGCTGCCCACCAGGCTGCCCACAGGTTCCTGGGGGACAGCCCCAGGACTCCGCCTCCTCGCGTCTCGCAGCCGGCTCGCAGGGCGGGCCCTGGCCCTCGCAGACACCCAGGGCAGCCATGCGCAACACGATACCCCAGCTGTGCTCTGGGCGGGCCCCGAAGGGACAGGGGAATTACTTACTCACTTCTGGAGATGTCTAGGATTAGGACGGTGACGGAGACAGACTGTTTCTGTAAAATGCAGTAGTTCACATCCTCCCCCTGAGAAGGGAGAGCAGGTCGTTGGTCACCTTCACCTCACATTCCCACGAGGCTGAGGCCTGGGCTTCGCCACCCCAAGGAAAGCACCCACCCAGGGTCCAGCTCCAGGGCTGACCGTGGCCAGGCCGCCCAACACTTACCAGGTAAGAAGAAAAGCCATCGTTCTTCGCGCGGTCCAGGCTGAACCCGATCTGGGGTAGGTAAGAAGGAGAGACAAATACCTGTACGACCACCCCCACCTTTCTCACTCAGCCAGAAAGCGGGTGCTGTGGGCCTGGCTTCCTCCCAGGGTTCTTAGCATTCATCTTGTAACACGGCAACGGGTGCTCAGGTAAAATCACTAATTATTAGATTTTAACAACTTGTGTTAAAAGTAAAACTAACTTTAAAAAAAAAGCCAGGCGCGGTGGCATACTCAGCACTCAGGAAGCTGACCCAGGAGGACTGCTTGCCACAAGTTCCACGCCGTGAGTTCAAGCCAAGCCTGGACTACATAGCGAGACCTTGTCTTCAAAACCCAAAGGGGAAAAAAAAGGGGAAACCAACTGATGTCTACTATGCATTTTGGTCCTCACAAACGCGTTTTCTAGGGAGTGGGGATTTAGCTCAGTGGCACAGCACCTGCTTGGCAAGTGCAAGGTTGTGAGTTCGATTCCTGGTACCGGGGGAAAAAAATGAAAAACAAACAACAACAACAAAAAACCACATTTTCTCCCTCTTCCGGTGCTTCACCCTAGGGGAGGGGGGCTTTCCCGAAGCCAAGCGAAGCGGCACTGCTGGCTTGGAGACACTTACAATGGTGTCTTTGTCCATGACCCCAGTGGGATTGTTCACGGAGAGGCTGCTGACCTTCACCTGCATGTAGCCGTCCTTGAAGAACCCGAAGGTGTTCAGATGCACCTTGTGCCTCACGTCATCCTGAAGAGATGAGCAGTAGGGTACGGAGTCAACTTCTTGTCTGCTGCTTAAGCCCTTCACCCACCTGAACCACAGCAGTGTCGTGCTCCTGCAGGGGGGAGCGGGGACACTTCCCTGTGCTCAGTGATGCTCGCAGCCACAGCAGCCCCTCTCCCCAAAAGCTGCAGGCGGCAGCTCTGAACAGCAAAGGTCTAGGGAGGAATGCACGACAGGCAGGGCTCGCCCAGGTACCCCCGTGGGTTCTGGACATGCCCAAGGCCAGTCGGCGGGACTCCAAGGCAGACGGACCTCCCGGAGCACCAGGCCGCGTCCAGCGGGCCATGTGTGCAGGTGGGTGGAGGGAGAGCGCTGCAGAGCAAGGCTGTACCCACACGGGAATTTTCCAGCCTGTAATTTTTTAGAAAGGTTCACTGTACCTTAAGAAAATGGTATAGATGAGGGGTTTTCAGGGAACAAAGCCTTATGCAGAAGCAATCCCAGTGACTAAAGTGGAGCCAGAGCAGGGCGGGATGCTACATTCGGGGGAAACTGCAGTGTGGGGCAGACCATCCCTGCCATACTGCCATCCACACCGCACACCTGGGCCTGCCTGGAGACACCTGGCACTCTTGGAAATGACGGAGACCCATTTCCCTAACTTGCAATGCCATCAGTAAGTCTGCAGCCTGTCTGAGTGAGCTGTAATTTTATTTCTAAATGTGGAATCTCCTAGACATCAGACGTAGACTAATGCAAACACCAGAGACCAGTAAAAAAAAGGCTGAAAACTGGGCATGATGATGCACGCCTGTAATCCTAGCACTTGGGAAGCTGAGGCAGGAGGATCACAGTGAGTCTGAGGCCAGCCTGAACTGCATAGCGAGCCCATCTCAAAAAACATTTTAAAAATAAAGAATTCTTTTAAAAGGCCATGAATCAGACCTGTAACAGGAACAAGCTCACTGCACCCATGCCCACATTCCCCGCAGAGCTACAGCATGCTTCTGGGCAGGCAGGCAGAGGGAAAGGATGCTGCGAGCCCCCTTCCCCCATCTGCCCTGGGCATCTGTTCAAAATCCACCTCCAGCGTCCAAGTTTCCACGATGCCTCAGGGCAGCCCTGGCCTCACCCTTCCTTAACCTGCTGGGTTTCAACTCTTATCTTCCTTTTCTTGGCCTCTGAGAATTCCCCTTATTTTCTTGGGCACTGGAACTGTGCATTTAAAACCTAGGTGCTGGGCTTGGCTTCCCAGTGGGACAGAGAGGCCTGGAGCAAAGCTATGCTCCCACAGCGAGCAGGGAGCACAGCCAGCCAGGACGCTGGAGGCCGCAGGGAGCCACTCAATGGAAAAAACCCAGAGAGCTGACGCTCTCAGCCCCTCCTGCGCAGGACTGGAGAAGTCTGAGAAGCAGCCTTGGAGAAAATGAGGCGGCGACACCGCGGCTCTCCCAGGGGCAGCACCCAGGCAAGGCGCTGCAGGAACTCAGCAAGCCTGCGCAGTCACTGCAGGGAGACCGGCTGCGACGCTGCTTCCACCCTGTCCAGTGTGTGGGCGCTCCGCAGCGGAAACAAGCCTGCTGGGTACTTCTCAAGCTCACGCTGTCCCCACCACGTGTGCTTTCTAGTTGTTTTGGAGAAAACGTTTCGACTGTCACCTTCCAGCAGATTCTATCTGCACTCGCAGTCCACTGCCCGACCGTGCTTTTCTACCCTACACCTGCACTCCATTTGATGACATCAAGCCATTAAGAACAGGGTTTGGATGAATGTTTAAAACCATCACAACGGCACCACAGCTCCTTGTGGTCTGTGTTTTCCAAGAACTGGGTTAACACAAGGGCTTCGCCAGCCCCAGTAGCGGGGAAGGGGGAAACACAGGGTCAGCCTAGTCACATAAACAAGGCTGGGTGCTGCACACGCCTGATCCAGCGGCCGCCTCCACGCTAAGGCCTCCTAGTGGGGGAATGTCACCAAGAAAGCAGCATCGGCGCAAAGAACAGAATCCACACTACACCAACAGATTGGAGTTCGTTAAAAAAAAGAACTGAAGGCCTATGCACTTGCTTAATTAGCAAAGACTTGAATTCACAAAGCCATGAAAAGGTCGGAGCTGATGGAAATGTGAGTAGTCACTTTTCTTTATATTTTTCTGTATTGTCTACATTTCTAATAGTGCTCATGGACTAATTTATAAGTAGAAAAAAAATCAAACATTATTTTTATAGGAAGCACTGCCATTTAAGCCAGGTGTGGTACATGCCTGTCCTCTCACAGCCAAAAAACAAAGTAGAAATAGTTGATGAGGTAAGGGTCCTGTCAATCAGAGTCTTACTATGTAGCCCACACTGGCCTTAAACTCTCAGTGATCCTCCTGTCTCAGCCTCCTGAGTGCCAAAATCACAGGCGCCGTACCACTACACCCTACCCCACACATTTTCACTTTAAGCCACCGTGTCATCACAACACATGCTGTATGCAAGCGGCTGTGCCACTGCATATATAACACGGATCACAGAGGCACCCAGGTCTCCAGGCCAGCGGGACAGGAAGTCACACTCTCCAATCATTTGTTCTGGCTGCAGATATAGCTCAGCATGTGGCAAGGCCCTGGGTTAAACAGCCAGCATTAAAAATGTCACTCAATCAACTTTATTTGATTAAGTGTAAATGAACATTTATAAAACCACCACATAGGAGCCAAGGCCCAAGAAGTGAAAAGTTCTCCCATCACCGAGACAGCCAGCAAGGGAATCTCCAGCCCCCATGGTCACCGGGCAGGGCCAAGGAGACCCAGCCTCCCAGTCCATGCAGAAGCCAGGCTGTGCCCCCTCAAGGGGGACCGGAAGTGGGGAGGCAGAGCCCCGGGTTCCCATCCCCTGCCCGATCCTCGCCTCTGTGGGCCACAGCACTGGGCCCTGGAGCTGCGACACAGGGAGGCCCAGCGAGGTTTGCCCGAGTCCAGAGGGACGTCAGCCACGAGAGTGGAGCAACCAGCTCTCTGTCCTCCATCCCTTTAGGGAAGGTTACGTTTCTAGTGGCCAGAGGTGGTGCTCAGGGCTTTGGAGAACACCGCGTGTGCTGAGGACTCGTGCTCCCAGGACACACAGGAAGTGGTCTCAGACAGGGAAACTTTACTCATAGTCCTAAGCTGGCAGTGGGCAGAACTGGCCGTGTGACTCTGGGTGGCTTCCACTCCAAATCCAGCTTTAATCGCCTCACACTGTTTGTTTACAACCAGCCAAATAGTATATTATCATTTTGTTGTGATTTTTTTTTTTGAGATTGATTCTTGCTATGTAGCCTAGGCTGATGTCAAGTACTTTAGGCTGGTCTTGAACTCACTAAGTCTCCCGAGCTAGCCTCAAACTCAGGGCAATCCTTCCTGCTTTGCCCTCCTGAATGCTACCAGCCTCAACTACATGGCAAGACCCTATCTCAAAGAAAAAAAAAAAAGAAAACCCAAACCAAACAAAATCCAAAACAAACCACACTTGCAGTGCTCTTACAACAGAAGTTTTAGGTCACCAAGAAGCAAGAGGTAGCCAGCTGGACATGGTGGCACATAACATTCCAGCACTCGAAACTGAGGCAGGAGGATCACAGTGAGTTCAAAGCTATACGGGGCTACAAAGTAAGTTCAAGGCCAGCCTGAATTACATAGTGAGACTTTATCTCAAAAGACTAAAAAATCCAAAACAAACAAGCAAAAAACCAAACCCAAAAGCCACAGGTTCCATGTCATACAGGGAAATGCTGTTCTATTCCTTCAAAAGTTTTACAGAAGGTAATTATAACTTGTGCTGTTCCGTTTGTACTTTATTCATTGTTTTGTTTTCGATGAACTATGCCCCTGAAAGAAGTCCCACATATACATATGTACCCTCGTATTTCTTTACCTGCCATGCTGGGCATCAAATCTAGGGGCTTCCCACTGAGCTAAATGCTCGGCCCTGCTTTTATAAAATCCCAAGACTGGGTCTCCGTGAGTCACTGAGTTGGCCAGGCTGGGTTCACACTTGGGATGCCCCAGCCTCGGCCTCCCAGAGGCACCGCGTGCCTGGCCTCTGGGCCTCTTCCTTCACATGCACAAGCACACACACGCCTGTGTGCAGTACATGTGCAGGCCTCCAACATACCCGGATCTAGATGGGAAAATTCTGAGTCCCACAGCATTAAGTTTCACTTTTACTCACAACTGCCCAGTTGGGCCAGCACGGTGGCGCACACCAGTCATCTCAGCACGCAGAGCAGCTGAGGCAGGAGGATTGCAGTTGTGAACTCAGCCTGGGCAACTTAGTGTGACCTTGTCTCAGAATGGAAAAAGTAAAACAAGAAGAGCTCAGGATGTAGCTGAGTGTGAAGACCCCGGGTTCAATCCCCAGTACCAGGAAGAAATGGGAGAGAGGAAGCTGTCCAATCGGTCTCCAAAGCACCTCATGGCTCCCGCCCCACACGGCTGCGCTGCCCTTGATGGTGTCAGGCTTCCTGCCCCGACCACCTCCAGGAAATGAGTGACGACAGTGAACCGGTCCGAGCTCCCCACCTGTCGGCCAGCCATTGCTCCTTAGCAAAGCGCCTTTCCTGTGTTCAGTTTCCTACTGGAATTTGGGGGCAGGGGTAACGGGATTGAACCCAGGGCCTCTGCAGCCCCAACTCTTTTGCTATTTTAAAACAGGGTCTTGCCAAGTCATTAAACTGCCCAGGCTGTGCTGAAACCTCAGGATCCTCCTGCCTCAGGCTCCCAGAGTGCTAGGATTACAGGTGTGCACCACCATGCCCAGCTCTTACTGGAATTTTAAAAAATTCTTTATGTTATTTTGGTAACTAATCTTTGATTTGTATGCTGTATCTTTTCCAAGGCCTTTTTTTTTTTAACTCATGTGGTACTTCTGTCATGTAAGTCTTTTTAAATGCTGCAGAGAGCCTAGCAATCTCATCAGCGTTGAGCAGGGGTCTCACATGGAGCCCAGGCTGGCTTCAAACTTTGGCTCTTGCTCCTGTAGCCTCCCAAAGGCCTGTCA